AACACATTGCAGAAACACTTCATGTTCCTTCTTCTTTTTTTCTTTATATATAACAAAAAATTCCTTTTAACTCTGTTTTTTAATTCATCCACAAAAAATGAAGAGTTGAAACCCCAATGTATAGGTCTTTTGGCAAACTGAGATTTATTATGATGTAAAAAGAGATATCACTTGTTGGAAAGATTTCTACTACTGATTGCATCATCTACCATTTTTTGCTTCTGTTGTTTTTGACTAATACATCAAGCATGAACATAAATGAATATGTTAGAGATTTCGACCCAAAAAAAATGAATATGTTAGCGACATATACTGTTATAAATTCGTCTTTTATGCCAAAGACAAACAAATCTGCTTTTCAAGGCCTAAGAATTCAAATAATCTTGTCAATCACAAGGTAAATAGCTCACAGATATAATTGAAAACAGTTCTAGTTACAAAATTCATCCGAGCAACAGTTCCTAAATGTAGACAACAATTATAAAAAAATTCTTGACCAGATCAGAAACAAAATTATATATTCAAATGAAATATGGGAAATGATCTATCTCTACACATGGGCATTCTCGTAAAGTTGTATCTACATCAAATAAATATGTTAAGAAAATACATGTATTATTGTACGTCATGTTAGACTCTAGTAATTATTTTACAGAGGATGAGGTAAGTAAAATGAATTTTTGAACGTGTATGTGAAAACTTTTACAAGTTTGATGAGAATAATTTGGTTTTGACTCTATTAATGGATCAAGGACATCGAAAATTAATAAACATATACTTTGAACCAAAAAAAAGGTCCATGAAAATGGATCTTGACCCCTGGGCTGGGCACGTGAAGGGGGTTGAATCATGTCCTAACCAAGACAACGCGAACTACGAGATTTATCTCATAAATGCTGGAATAACTGGTTGTAATTTTCAATTTGATCACAAATATTATTTTCCCATCAAGGTTATATGTGTAGGGGTCAATTTGCCAAATAACACAAAAAAAAAACAATTATAATTAATTAAGTAGCAAAAAAACCTAAATCTAATGGTTGTGGTTATGTCACATAGGAGAGTTTTGGCTACTTAACTAATTATAAATTTTTTTTGAGTTATTTGGCAAATTATCCCTATGTGAAATTGTTTTTTTTTGTTTTTTACTTTCATGTGAAATAGTTTTAAAAGGATTACATATTTACATGTAAGATACACTGGATTACTACTAGCATACAAATTAGTTAGATCAAATGCAACAAGTGATTTTAACGACGGTAGATATGGGCTAAGAGATTAGAAAGTAAAGATATGTTTGGACAGAGGGAGATGCTTAAATGCTTCTGTAGGACCACATGAGTCACATGTAAAAGTATTTATGGAGGCCCAACCATATATTTGATTTATTATATGCTGTCTCTAATAATTGGTAAATTATCAATCACAATTAGTCATATAATGCTTTATTGATGTGAAGTTTTGGAGTTTCAGTAATAGATAATCCATCATAATTGCTTCAATATGGCAAAAAAACTTAGGAAAATAGGAAGTTCTTCCTCCAAAATCCTTGCATGGATCTTAAAATAATGTGTTATGTGTATGGCCTTGT